AGGATTACGTATTTTGCTCTTGGATTTAGATATACTTTAATAAAGCTAAAACTACAATATTCTCATTTTGCATCTCTTTGTCAACTTGATATTATCAGACAAAAAAAAATCAAAGTTTTTGTATAACATTCTTGAAGTAGCCATTATGTCCAGTGGCAAAATGTTCAGTTTGCAGCTGTATGGAAACTGCAGCTACAATAGAACTTTGCATCTACTCTGGCTAAGATGTCCTTAAATTAAATTTGCAAATGTTTCTTAATGTCCAGTCGAAACTTTTTTCTAGTTTTGGATAAAGTGGGAAAGGGATAAAACCACTGTTGGGGTTTTACTGCTATCAGTGGCTCCGTTAGAGATATTCCTCCTCATTTCCTGTCCTGCTGACATCATTTTACCAGACAGGAAGGGAGGGTAACTCCCCAACAGTAACAGAGAGAGAATATTTTCTTTAGCACAGTAAAGCTCGTCATACACTGTTCTATTTTTTTAATTCAACCCGTGGGCTGAACCAAAATAATAGAACAGATTTCTCCATCATCGCTTTTAGGCTAGATTCAGATCTAAGTGATACCCGGGACACATGTCCTGGGACCGCGTGATCACATGCTAGTGCACACAGCAGTTGCTGCGTGGCCCCATTAATTTCTTAGCCGTGATCGTGTTCAATTGCAAGGCCGGAATTGCGGCAGGAAACTGCGCGATCTGCCCACCCGCTCGACTGGAGTGCCATTAGAAAACAACGGCACCGCCAGCGCGATAAGCTGTGTTGGGCGACTCCATGACCACCCTGCACGATTGCCATGTGGTCACCGATCGTTTAGATGTGAACCTATCCTGAACACTGGCTGTCAGCTCTGTTCATTTGAAGATTTTCTGACCGGCTCCTTCAATCAGCTTATCGAGGAAAGCCAGCCAAAAGGGTGCCAACCATGGCACCCACTTTGCGCATTTCGGCCATTTTTTCAGGATTTTAATTTGAATAGTGTATGACCAGCTTAAGAGAAGGATGGAATTTCTGTCAGATATTTATCTCTGTCTGTGTCCCTGTTGCAGATTTCCCTTGCTTCCTGTCTAGTGAAACCACTATCAGCAGGACAGGCGGTGAGGGCAAATCTCTCTAGTGATGACCTGGATAGCAGTAAAAAACTTAACAGGAGTTCTAATTCTTCTACATTCTATTCTAAACTAGAACAAAAAGGTTTCTGGCTTGACAATAATTTTAAAGCAGAACTTCAGTAAAGTTATTAAGTCAGTAAGGTTGTTTGAAAATGTCTTCCTATGACTTGAAAGCGACTCCTTCAAATCAAAGGAAGTAGATGGGAGGGATTCAGTGTTGGATGAATGTGTACCTTTTTAAGGTCTGGTATTTAGTCTGGCAGTCCTACCACGCATAGAAGCAGTGCAGCTGAAGTGCTTAATTTAATGCTGCAAGCTGAAAACTTGACAACATTATTTTTTTCTGCCAAACAATACATCTTAAAGCAGGCACAGGTGAGAATGCTATTCATCTATTACTGGATGCAGTATTTACCTGGACTCTTTTAACAGCTTTGGACAAGACAAATATTTATGATATCCTTAAGAGGATTTAAAGATTGAGCTTGAGCTTGACTGTTGGCAAGGTTGAATAGGGTTCTGGTTCACACACTTGTAATCAACCAGGTATGAATGATATATGGTACTTCAATAATGGTGCTTAGTACCTTTGACCTAAGTGTTATGCTCAATTTTCTTGCAGCTGAACAAAATGTTCACAAGGATGTCATTATCTGTTTAACTGAACATACTAATATCTCTAAAACAGCCAAGAATCCCCAAACATCACTTGGAACAAACAGAGAAATTACAGTCATAGCTAGGGATAGTCAGTTTATTTTTAAAATATCCAAAACCATACAAATTTATATTGTTAAAAGATATAATGGTTTGGTTTGTTCAAAAGAAAACTAAAAAACACAAAACAATCTTATGAAATCTTAATGCAGATTACTGGAACAGTTACTATAGTTTCTATCTGTATACAAACATACCTCAAAGAAACATTACAGATTATACTGTACAAAAAGTACTGATGGGGTGGTCATAATAATCTGGCCACTCAGTATATATACAGCTTTATCCATTAACGATGGCTCTGGATACTAGCAAAAGAGGATAATTGACAATTGTAACCCCAGATCAGAAGCATGGTTGATATAAGAAAAAGGTGTTTTGCAAAAAATTGAATTTAATTTACAACGAAATTGGAACCACATCTAAAAACTTGACAAAATCTGCAATGGAATTACAATATCCTCTTATTAACTGTATAATTTGAATTAAAATCTAAACCCAGGAAATGTCCTTCAAAAGACAACTGTTAACCAATTCTTATCATTGTGCAGAAATTATCCTGACTTGGAAGGACATCAGTTTTTACTTTTTCTGATTTTACTTGTGTGAAATGAACAATAACACTACTTGTTCTGTTATCTAGATTGATAAGTAGCAAAAGGCAGACTGTACAACACCAGTGGAAATATTAAATATGGGCCAAAGGCATTAGTATTCAATTGTGACAAACCCCCATCTGCGTTACAGTACCTACTGTGAATGGTTCAGTGATACTATAAATCTCTAGGTGCCTTTGCTTCAGAAACCTAAATGTGTACTGAATGCAGAACACAATTTATTTTCCTCGACCACAGTAAAATGGCAACAACAACATGAAACAAAAGCTATATTCACACATACACATACAGTACATACTACTACTATTATTATTATTATTATGATACATACACACAAACACACACAGATATGAGCTTTCAAAATTACCATCATACACACTTTCCCACATGGCCCCTGAAGCCCAGTCTTAAATTAGCACATGCACATGCTCATTAATAATGAGAAGGGCTAAATTAATGAATGAGATCAGAAAAGGAACACTAGGAACAATAAGAGCCATTTTGCACTAAGTGGATAGCCTTTAGATAAAGCTTTTTTGCAAATTCCTTATTATATAGCCATTTTGAAACTAACAATAGACATACTGAAACTGGTCTGATATGCAAGTAAATAGTAACTTATAAACTCACAAACACCGACAAGTTGCTGTTTTTATGCACACTTCCACATTTATGCAATAGAAGAGCTGCAGACGTTTTCTATATAAAATTATCCCTGATTGTAAAACACATTTCTTCTCGGTAGAAGAAATTCAAATACAAACATAAACACTAGCGGCACTTGAAAAACTGTCTAACTGTACCTTTAAGGTATAAGGAAACAATGTATGAAAGTCAGTATGTGGTACCGAATGCATGGGAATCCATCCTTGGATTTGAAGGGTGATAGGGCCTCCTCTTCCTCCTCCTATGTAGTAAGCATAGAAAGCAACAGAGGCAGTGGATATGGGTAGTTGGCCGGCAGCATCAGAAGAAGCTGTGTTCAGGCTTCACAGTTAAGGAGCCATGGCAGGAAAGACAAAGGCACTATCACTGCAGGGGAAGGGCAAGAGGTTAACAGCAAAGACAGAACTTACAGGAAACAGTGTTTCCCTAAGAGAGGTGCTTAGCAGTGTCACAGTGGTTTAGGTAGGGAGAGAGTCTGCTATAGAAATGAGAAATCCACATGAATGAAGATCAAAAACAAGCGCTAGGTGATCATCTTAAGAATAAAAAAAAAAAATTCTCGGCTTAACAAATGGCAACAAAAGTATATGCACATCCAACATGTTTTGGTGGTCAGGAATCCTCCTTCATCAAGGACATCAGGACACTGCTGGACGCTAAACTTACAGGCCCTGCAGACAATTCTATTTCTCAGACAGGAGTGGAAATCCTTGGTGTGAAAAGATCTTTACCAGCAGTTCATCAAATTTTTAGAAGTAAAAAAAAAATTGTCCTGGAAATTAGGCTGTGTATGTGTGCTAAAGCCTCTGAGCTTATGATGAGTACTTCTGAAAGTATGGAAAAACTGGGCTTTTGTGCAAATTGAAGATCTTTCTCATGCCCTGGCTTTAAGAACTGTCACTGTGAGTATTACTTTTTAAAAAAAAACCTATTCAACCATTCCGGCACTACAGTTCCCTACGTTGGGAATGACCGTGGTAATTTTCCAACAACTACAAATTTGTGTGCGAGCTCTCTCCTGAATCACCTTCATCATGCTTCAGCAAACCTTTAAAATGTTATACTATTAAACTGTGTGTTGATCAAGAGAGTTGTTTGGCCATACCACCTACTAATACTTATGTACAAAGTAAAATACAAAGCAAAGTATACTTGTAAACTATATTAAAGAGAACTGGCATGCGTGTATAGATATACAAACATATAACAAAAAAAAGCCTTTTGCCTGTTTTTGAGTTTCTAGCATCAGTTCTATGATGGATCTGACGAGCCAAATTCCTCCGATGCTGGTGCAGATTTCAGTTTATTGACCCAGTTATGTGAAGGTAAATCCTTACATGTGAAAGGGTAAGTCTACTTCTCTGACCATGTTTCATGTTACACCCATATTCAGGATGTAACATGAAACATGCTCACATTGCAACTACCCCGCAACCCACCCCCCCTTACCTGAATCGCAGGTTCTTCATTCCACAGGCTGGTGTGGCATAGCACAGGCATGTCTCCACTCACACAGCCATGTCATGCATTCACAGATCATTTGACAGGATGTGTGAATGGAGAAACTACAAGTCGTAGCTACACATATTGATGTGCATTGTGTTAGGGCAATCCCTTATTGAGCCCCAAAGCATTAAAAAAAACCTGTACCTTTTCTGGCCAATGCAGCCTACCATGAAGCACAGTTAATTTACATCTGTGTGCTTTGGTGCGCTGAAGGGCATGTAACATAGTAGGTAAGCTTGAATAAAGACACAAGCCCATCTAGTTCAACCTATGTATGTGTGTGTATGTATGTATATATGTATGTAAGTACATGCTTGCCTCTAGTAGTTCCCATATCCCTGTATTTTTCAGAACTCAAGAAATTCATCTAAATGTTTCTTGAATTTATTAATGCAATCAGCAGATACTACTGACTGTGGAACGGCATTCCACAATTTACCAAATATTATCCTAATTCACAGTGAAAAAAAACCCTGCGAAGCCTGAGATTAAACCTCCTCTCTTCTAATCTCTTGCTGTGTACTTGTGTCATTAGTATAGTTCTTGGTGTAAAAATCCTATTCGGAATATTGTTGTCCCATTTATAATTTTGAAAATTGCAATTAGGTCCCCCCTCAACCGCCTCTTTCCCAAGAAGAACAAATGTAATTTCCTGAGGCGATCTTCATAGCTCATGCCTTCCATCCCCTTTATTAATTTTGTAGCCCTTCTCTGAACTCTCTCAAGTTCGAGAACATCTTTCTCGAGAGTTGGTGTCCAAAACTGAACCGCATATTCAATGTGAGACAGAACCAGTGATTTATAACGTGATAACATGATGATTTTATCCCTTGCCAAAATTCCTCTTTTAATGCAGGATAATATCCTTTTTGTTTTGCTGGCCACTGCTTGGCACTGCATGTTATTGCTGAATTTGTGATCTATGAGCACCCCCAGGTCCTTCTCCATCTCTGACTTCCCCAGTGGTGCACCCCTTAGGTAGTAGTTTGCACACACGTTCTTTGCTCCCATGTGCATAACCTTATTAAATTGCGTCTGCCATCTTGCAGCCCACTCCTCCATTTTATTTAGGTCCTGTTGAAGCGAGTTTATGTCATCTTAAGAATTTACTGCCCTACACAGTTTGTTATCATCCGCCAAAACCGAGATTGAACTATTTATACCAATCTCTATGTTGTTTATGAATAAGATGAACGGGATCAGTCCCAAGACTGATCCCTGGGGCACAACCTTTGCCCAATTAGAAAATTACCCATTTATTACTACCCTCTGGAGTGTGAGGATCTAGTATGTAATTCAGTTTGCAAGCAACTATGTAAACCCTTGAGTTGGCCCTGAATAATTTACCAAATATTATCCTAAACAGAACTCTATATTCATATGGCTGAAAAACGCCTAATAGAAATTGCCTTTTTCGAACTTCCTGCAACAAACTAATCTTGGGGCTCTGGGATAGTGAAACACCCACAATAGCTAAGCCTACCCCGGAACTAGTGTGCGACCTAGATCTCAGAGAGCTCCACAGCAAGCAGAGCCTTCCAAGCTAAGCAAGTATGGAGACAACATGTTCCCTTTAAAGTCAAATAAACGTTTATTTTCCTACATAACATGACCTGTCATATGAGATACACAGTACATAGAAAGGAATATTTATGAATCACAATACAATTACTTCACAGCAGAAAGACAGAAGGGTTTTTTTGTCATGGAAAATTGAATTATGCATTACTGTCCACTGCAAATATAATTAATCTTCATTTCATACAAAAATAGGCCCTCCGTGGTTGCATGCAAAGTTGAAAGGACTACAAAATAGCATGGTCTCATGTCTGCTGCCAGATCGGTGATGATCTTATTTATACAAAGTCTTGTCTGGTTTTTCTATGAGAAGATGTACATTTTGACAGCAAAAGGGTATATACTTAATTGCATGCTCTAACAAGACATGTTACAAATTATGCATATGTATTGAGTAGACCAAGTCGCTTCTCTTAAAGATGAGTCAATCTCCGTCAATCCCAAATCAATAACACATTTGAGTGCAGCTGTTTTGTAAACTCGTTAACATATGCCTTTACCAATATATCAATATCTCATTAATTTTCAAAGATCAGGGTACAATGCAAAATTATTTTCTGTCACGTAATATCTGTCTATTCATTTTTTTATGTAAAGCTTTGCAGATATTTATTTATTACACCACAAATTATAATTATTTTTTGTGAAGCACAATAAAGCCTTTTTAAAACAGAAAATATGTACATAAAATATGTACATTTCTCACACCTAAAACAAATCCAAATACTAAGGGCCTATCCTGACTATGGGTTGCTTCATCACACCGAGATTACCACAATGCATAACCGTGTGTTATGGTGTGCTGTGTTAAGGCATCACAATGAATTTGAGTTGGCAAGCAGTCCACAATAACATCTCAAAAATGTAAACATGCACCACTTTTTTTAACGCAGCGCACACCATGTGCATTGTAGTGTGTTACTGTGCAATGTATTGCATTAAAAAGAATGGATATATGGCATGCCAACAGACTTTTTTTTTGGACATTTTTTATTTTAGGACAGTGGGTTAAATCATTTAAAGTATTATTTTTTCCATCTGGGTCAACAGTACATTCAGAACCACTGCTTTACAGCCAAATATCATAGAGGCACTGTACGGGCTATTGTGAATAGCCCGTACAGCACCCCCTCGGTTCTCCTGAACCGAAGGGGTCCTGGGGCCGAAGCCAGCCGAAGGATCGGCCGAAGCTACGGCCGGATCCTTCGGCAGCTTTGTGAATAGACCCCATTGTGTTTCCAACAATACAGACTCAAAATTAAAGGCAAAAAAAGACCATCAGCTTTCCCTCAAAAAATGTAAATCTGCAGCACTCAAATACATTCCACACTGCAAAATATAAGAGTTGTTAACTAAATGTGACTTTGATTTCACTTGAAAATCACAATTTATTCTTGCCACTTCATGTACAATAATCACAGTTGGAAAACCAAGAGCTCAGCATAAGTCTAACACTGAGATGCACATAAATGTGTGGTTTATTTAACCCCCTTCCAATGCATAAATGTAACAAATAATGAAAATGTATCACATTTGCAGTGTTAGTGTTGTAATGAAGTTCACTGACATACCTAGAAAATAGAAAGTAGTTAAAGCTTTGTGAAACTTCAGTTACAGTCACAATCATTTTATAGATCAGTGGTAATTAATTAACCTTTATTGATTGACTTTGTAGCAAACAGTGATCACAGTCAGACTCTGCAAGTTCTATAGAGTTCTAACCCATACGACCAAAAAGCAGGACAAATGTTTTAGGAGCTGCAGACATTACTGACCAGTTTACACCAAAATCAGATCTAAATTGCAAGTCAACAGAGGTCTGTTGATTTGCGATTGCACCCTCCATTTTATATCCGTTGGAGGTTTTTTTTTTTTGCAAATCTCTATGTGAAGTAACATGTCCTGAGTAAACAAACATCACTGTATTTTTTTTTCTTTTACTTACATTGCGTTTACATTGGTTTTGACGCACTGCATTGTGCTGAAAAAAGCAGAACATGCTCTACTTTTGTTTTAGCGCACTGCAGCGCCACATAACGCATTGATGTGAATTGGACCTATTCACACCCTTACATTTTTGGTTCCCTTTTATTGACATGCGTCATCATCACCAGATGCCAACTATCTGGTGTGAATGGGGCCTAAGGGTGAGTTTATGGTTCTTTTGTCTACTGGTGATATAAGTTAAAACTACATAAAACATATGGATAAAAAGCCAGATAAAATATAAACCTCCGGTCCCTTTGGAATAGAACTGGAAGCTACCATACATTATTCTGGTATGTATGGAGGTTCATAATGATGCCAAATAACATGGAACTAACATTGAAGGTCACTGGAAGACTTATAAACAGGAGTAACATGTGAGGCCATGGGTGTGATTTACTAAGAAGTTCAGTAAAGTGAATCTATAATTTACATGCACAATAGGCTGTTTATGCCTAAAAGTTATTAAAATGCATTATGACACTTGCAAAATGTTAACAATCTAAAGCCAAACCTTGTTTAGTTTTTAATAAAATGGGAAATGGACAAAACCTCAGAAAAGTGTCTTTTTTTCTCCCATTGGAGAGACTACCCTTAATTTCCTGTCCCCAGGGCACTGAGACAGAAAATGAGAGCAAATTTCTCCAAAAAAGACAGGATTAGGGAAGGTTTAGGACATCTGTCAGGTATTATTACTACTGTTGTCAGGCTTTTTATTGCTAGCTATAGATTTTCATCTTCTGTGACAGCAGGTACAGTGGACACAATGAATACAGAAAACAAGTAGTGAGGAACAACCTGAGTAAATAGAAATGACTCATGAGAAAGTCAGAATGAATTTTGTGTAATTCAGGTTGAATTAATTTCTTTGATCTCAGATAACTTTCATAAGAAAGGCTGAAGTTTTGTTATTGTGGTTTTATTACACAGCTAGAGTAAGTTAAAGATTAAATGGATCTGCTAGTGAATAGAAATTCCATTCATGCTACATAACATCCTGATGAATTGGCAGTGAGATAGAAAAGAGATTAAAAGAAAGCTCCCTAGAGTAAAACTGACCTCAAAATGTGAAAATCGTTTTGTGGCTACCAGCCTCTAGGGACAAAACATTATTTTTTTCTGCCCAGTCTGTTAGACAATCAACAACAATCTTGGATCCAGAGTAATAAGGGTAGCATCTCCTAACATCTTTTCTTGATATGTATAGTAACTGTAATGTCCTCCTTATATTGTAAAGTGCTGAGCAAACTGTTGGCGCTATATAAATCCTGAATAATAATAATAATCTTTGTGCTGTAAACGTTAAATAACAGACTCAATGTCTACTACAACAGAAGTATGCGTTAGTGCAGTAAGATCAGATATTATTAGAGAATGAGAACCAGAAAAACGAAGCGTGTACTAAAAGACATCCCTAAACTTGTGACCTCTCCTAGGTGTTCTCATCTTACTGTAACATTACTGAGTACACCATAGTTCTGGGAGCTTTACAAAGCATTGAAGTCATAGGGGTCTATTCACGAAGCTGCCGAAGGATCTGGCCGTAGCTTCGGCCGATCCTTCGGCTAGCTTCGGCCCCATGACCCCTTCGGTTCAGTAGAACCGAGGGGGTGCTGTACGGGCTATTCACAATAGCCCGTACAGCTCCCGATCATTGCCGAGTGGCTCGGTCGAGCCGATCGCATATGCATCGGCTTGGCTGAGCCGTGCAGAAAGCCGAAGCTGGCCGAGCGGCCGGCCATTGGCTGGCCGACAGCCTGCTTCTGACAGCTGGGCGGAGCCAGCCGTGATCTTACGGCTGGCTCCGGCCCCTTTCAGAGAGATCAGCGTCCCTGGTTGCTAACCAGGGACACTGATCTCCAAACAGCTGACTTTCCCTGGCGCCCTGGGAGCCTCCTGCTCCCGGCCGCCAGGGAGAGAAACCCGCTCTATCTTTTTTTCTGTATTCTGACACGTGCATGTCAGAATAGAGAAGAAAAAAAGTAATTCCCATTAAAAAGCATTGGGAAATTATTATTGGCTATTTCAATTTGCAATAGCCAATAGTAGGGTTGCACAGATACCAAGTACAATACTCAGTAGAAGTACGAGTACATGTACCGATACTTTTGAGCTCCAAGACTACACTAGAGAAAAGTCCAAGAATTAGGAGGCAGCTGTCATGTGTAAGGA